TTCTAAACACCACAAACTTTTCAAACACAGAAATTCTGATTGTCTCTGGGTTTAAACTACATCTTCTATTAGAAAACAGGCCAGTTCCTCCAGAAAAAACACATTCTACTGAAACACTGGAACCTATTTTTTAAAAAAACAAATTAATAATCACAAATCAATAACTATTTATTTTCATTCATTTGTCATATAATCTGCAAAAAAACCTGGAATAGCTAAATAATCGATTGCCATACTAGCAAGATTTGGATACTCATAACTGATGTAACTATAAGTTGTTTTTTTAAATTTATTATTACCGTAACTCACGAACGTAACACGGAGTATTTGTTGTATATATAACACAATACATTTGCGCATATAATAATAATAATACACGCGTTAACTATAGTTATGTTGATTAATGAGTTACGCGTTTATTTATATTAATCATTAATTAGTGGACATAGATAATTCTGGAGAACATTAAATTTTTATTCACATTATAATTATGTTTCCTTTTAAGTTCTTTCTAAGCATCCCAAGAAACATAAACTAAATTTGTATAGCATGTATTTTTATTAATATTTACTTATTGTGATTTTATATAAATATAAGAAGAAGGAGCAAGTTATTATTCTCCAGAGAATAATCAAACATAATTATTGATCGTTGGAAGTAGTTTTGACTTCTAGGATTGTATTTGCGAATTTAATGTTGAACTTGAAATAAAAGATAAACTCTTTTTATACTGAAAAATCATTACATAGTAATAGTTACTAAAAATCAGGGGTTCAAACCAAAAAATTTTCAAATCGATTCAAATCGGCTTTTTAACAAATCGAAACCGAGCCAAAAGGAATCGAATCGAATCGAATCGAAAATTTTCAGTTTGAATTGAATTGTTCGGAGCTTTACTTTTGGTCATCTTAAATTCGTGTTTTAATAAAATACAAAATGCACCCTAATATATGTACGTGTTGATCAATTGACATCGTAGTGAAATATGAATTTATTTTTTTTTGTTAATGTTAATGTTAATGAAATGAATAAATACAAATCTTAGCAAACTGGCATGTGTACATTCTTTATTATGAATATATGTAAAATACGAATTTTAAATAAATTATTTATTTATCACAATTTTTAACACATTCGGAAAACTTTTTGGTATTTACAATGCATAACACATTTCACATGCATTTACAAAAAATAAAATTGACCAGTGCTATTCAAGGATATGTTTTACGAGTCTTTGTTTTTCTCTCATGGACATTGGAACATTATAAAAACATTACCAATTCACTTAATTTTCAGGTAATATTTACACAATTTTCATCCATAATAACATTTTAAAAAAATGCTTACTTTCAATAGTGAACTTTTTTGTGGATTGTTAATTGGACTACTTCTTGGTTTCTTGATTCACCATAAAACCTACCAAAATCAACTCCATACTATAAATCAAAAAATTGATCAAATAATCGACAAAATAGAACCAAGAAAGAAACAATTTAAAAATAAAACAAACCAACTTACTAGTGATAAACAATATTCACAAGAAATAGAAAATCTATGGAAGGATTTCAAACAATTATTTGACAAAAAAATACTGGGTTGAATCCCAATTTTTCATTTAATGAAATGGTCATTGAAATTTGCCAATTACTAGAAGAGGGAAAAGGAGGTGCTGCTTTCACAAAAA